TATCAAATTCTTCTGCAACATCTGAAGACCTCTTAAAGTAGATTCTAAGAATTCTCTAAATTCTTGTTAGTAAATAGCAGTAGTATTAAAATCAATTATATTAGATTTAGATTGAATTAATGCAAATACAACTATTTTAGATAATAATATTTCTGTTGAAGTATCAATTCCAAGAATATGTTTCATATAATTAAAAACTTCTTTGAATAAAATAAGTAAAGAGCTATTATCATTATTGCTTTTATTATCTGTATTTTTGGCATTTTTGATATTTTTATTGTCATTGTCATTACTAATTTCATCATTTTCAGAGCTCTCTAATATTTCAGATTTTTTAGCATACAGATTACGACAGATATTTAGAGCTTCTTAGTAACTTAGAAAAATCATTTTAGGTAAATATGAATGTTAATCTTGTTTGCGAAGTTCTTTAAAATAAAGAGCTACAGTATGGAGATGCTTGCATATAATTCCTCTTTGAAGAAAGTCAGGGTATTAACAGCAAATATCTGTTAGCTAATCATATATACAAGTTGTATAAACAAGTCCTGATGTAGATTCAGACTCAATTTTGACATATATTTTTTCTGTTGTGTTTTCTATTTTATATCTTACTATTTTATTTGTGTCAAGCAATCTCTTTGCTAATTTATCATATTTAATGCTTGATGATAAATATGCAATCTGGGAGAACTTTGCATAAGAGTTTTACGATCTAATAGGTTCATGATATTGAGTTCTTTTCATCATTTTGTTTTTTCATATTCAAGATATATAGCAAGGGTTCGCAACGTTAAAATATTAGATATAATCTCATACACAAGAGCGATGCAAAGTATGTCAACTCTAAGAAGATGATGATTTTATTGAAATCTACTTAATTGATTGTTCTTTAAATACTTATTTATTCTTTCAAGATAATTATTCATAGTAAAAAGTTTTTCAAGTAGAATTCTAAGAACTTTTGCAGCTCTTATTTACTCTTCAAGGCACTAACTATAAAGGAGATCTCCTGCCTATTGCTTTTTTAAATAATTAAGAAATCTTATTCCATCTTTTAATATATATTTTTTTATTTTTTAAAATATTTGTATTAATAAGATTCTCTAATGATTCTTTTTTTTTATAATATAGTCATATACTATTTCTTCACTACTATTTATCAACCAAGTTTTCTTCAGAACACTTTTTAAATACATCTTTAGAGTTTGTTGCTGCAAAATTGCATCTTTATTACCACCTTTATCTAACTGTTTATTAATCTTATTTTTTCAGCATTGATTAATATGAAAATAACAAAGTAATAGAGTAATTCCTTGCCACACATTAGATAATAGCTTCCACTCTTTAATTTCAGTATCAGGCATTGTGACAAGAGAATTAAATTTAATTAGAATAGTATTCAGATTTGTTATAAGTTGACTTTGATTATAATTATCACTAATTTTATTATGAAATATTGTGAAAAGCCATTCTAAGATCTTACTATCATATTCAGATGCTGTTAATTTATTCTGTTGAAGTGGTGTAAAAAGAATAAAAGTAATAAGAACACCTTTATTATTCTTATTAATAACCATGATGATAAATAAAAGTAATTTATATTTGCTAATCCTGAAAGTTTTATCAACAAGAATAAGATTTTGGTGTCTATATTTCCATGCATACTCCTGTTGTTCATGAATACAGATAATGATCTCCAGGCAGTTAGTTTCTTCCATGTGGGGTTTATAATGTATACATGCCTCTTTGAGTTTAGATTGGTTTGCATCTGGTCCAAAAAATTTATCTAAATTTTTTGCAACATTATATTTAATATTAATATTCTAATTCTTTTGTAGTATCTGTTTTTTAATATTAGAAACATCCAATGTGGTAAGCAGTATTCTTGAATCTCCAATTAATGTATGATTTTCAAATACGTTTTTTACAATTCTTGCATTCTGGACAAGAATTTCTGAAGTCTTTACATTAAGGTTTAAACACTATTTCTTATATATAGCAAAAGCTTATATAAAAGGTTATATTGAGGCTGAGAAATTATATATTGCTTGAAATGCTTTAGATATTCTGCAATACTGCAAACTTCATTATTTCAAATAAAAACTATGACGAATGCAAGACATTCAACATAAAAGTAATGTGCAGCTAAAACTCGAGAAGTTAATGAAACTGCTTTTTCTCAGTAATTTTTATATATATATTGCTTAATAATTTGCATTTTTGTAGAATATCAGGTAGCCTATTTGTATCACACATCTTCAAGGTTGATATCAAGTCTATTTTCCTGAAGAAACTAATTTCAATTTACAATATAATCCTCTTTAGACAAATCTCATACTATTTCAACTACATCAGGTGTATTGTTAGACAACAAATTACTAAGTTTAGCTTTATACTCCTCTTTTAGTAGAAAGTGCAAGTCTAATCTTGCCTTTATTTTTGGTTTATAAGTGTCTCTCTTTTTTATTTCTTTGAAAGATTTAATATTTGATGTTATTTTATAAGCTTGAAGACAATAAAAGCTAGGATTGACAATAAGTTTAAGTAAAAAGGGTATATATAAGTTTTTGAAGATAATAAGAGTTATAAGTATTAGCAAATTTGATTAAAAATAATGAAGAATTTGGATAAAAAAAGGTATATTTAATGTTTTTAAGCTAAGAAAGTAAAAGCTAAATATTATGATGAATTTGAGTAAAGAAGATATATTTAACACTTTTTTGAAAGTTATTTAACTCTTTATAAATAAATTCATTATCTAAGCTTTGTATTTTAGTAATTAATTATATTTTGTTAACTTAAGCTTTGTATTTTAATGATTAATTATATTTATGACTAATGAATTATGTAATTTAGAAGTTTATTTTGTTAAAATATATCTAGTATTACAATAAATTAATACTGTATACAAAAATCTATTGATTATGGTTATATCTGTTATTACAATATTATTTATTATATTGTTAATACATTTTTATTAAATTATATTAATTTTAATATTTAAATCAATCACCGTTACAAGACTTCCATAATAGTAGACCCACCATGAACAGAAGAGGAAGAAATATTAATATTACAACTAATTTTACATACAGTATACAACACATAAAAAAATAATTTTACAATACTTGATTAGTCTACTAGTACATATTATAATTATAATCCAATACCATTTTTATTATAATAAAATAATATTAGATTATAATTATAACATGTACTAGCAGATTGTAAAATTATTTTTTTATATGTTGCACACCATATATAAAATCAGTTATGTAATATTTCTTTTTGTTCCTACCACATAGTATACTCAGATATGAATTATAGAATATATTAACCAAATCTGAATTTTTTTATAATTTGACAAAGTAAACTAGTTTTTTGCTCTCTATTTCAGAGCTATTATAACTATTAGGATTAGCATTCAAATTAACTATAAACTATATAAAATATTGTTTTTTTAAGGATCTTTTAATAAAAAAATATTACTTTACACAAGACAAAATTTTATATTATAGTGATTAGTAAATTAATAAAATTGTGATCAATTATAAATTATTAAAGCACAGCTTTTTATTATATAAAATAATAAATATCTTGCACGAGCTATACAATATGTAAACCATATACTAGTTTATTTTATATAACTATATATATGTATATACGTATGTACTTAGTGGGTTACAAGTAGAATTTCTATCAACTGATTTTTTGTCGATCACTTGCTAATCACGTGTCTATCACTGTGGCACGTGGCTAAAAAACAGTTTGGTAAAATCGGTCAATTTTTTAATCATTATTATTAGCCAATCAAAATTAAGAATCTGCTATACCAATTTTATAGTTAATATCAAAATAGAAGCTATACAAAATTTTTTTTTAACTTTGAGCAAAATATATTGACAATTATTTAACAAAATTCAATAAAACTTCTTTTATTTGAATTTTATAAACTCATAGAATTCGAATAAAAAATTTTTTATTAAATTTAGTCAGGTGGCTATCAAAATATTATTGCTCAAAGTTAAAAAAAAAAATTTGATACAGCTTCTATTTTTTGATAGGTATTTTGATTTTTTTTTAATCTTGAATAAAGATATCTCAATAACTACCAGACCAAATTTGACAAAAATTTTTTTATTTAAATTTTATAAACCTATAGAATCCAAATAAAAAGTTTGATCAGATGGTTGTTGAGATATCTTTACTCTAAGTATTAAAAATTCTTAGGCATATAGCCATATAATAAGTTACTTTGACCCGAGTTAGAATAAAATTGGCCCTTCAAAATACTGTATCTTGATAATTATAAACCAATTATAATAAAATCTTTAAATTATAACTTTAGTAAAAACTGTAGCCTATATTTAATTATATTAAACCAAGTTTTCTTTTGCTATTATAAAAAGCTTTTCTATAACTAATATTGTAGTAGCTTAGCTTACTGTAAATTATAGTAGTTTATATAATAAATATACAGGATATTATATACTGTATATCTGATATATTATATATCATGTTAATAGTATACTGTATAGTCAAATAGTCAATTTAGAAAATTTATATATTCTTGTAATATGAGTGCTGTTAATAGAAAACCTGTTATCAGGCTTTCAATATTCAGTTGGTTTTCCGCATGCTATCTATGGGCAATCTATTCCGATAATAGATTGTTCATATACAGCTAACAGAAAGCCAACTGAACATTGAAAGCCCGATGGCAGGTTTTCTATTGACAGCACTCATATAGTTTTTAATAAGCTATGTAATTTTCTATTTAACATTAATTAAAGTTGCATCTTTTTTGTATTACAGTATAAGCTATTAGCTATTAAAATTATTTTAGTTGTATTCTGTATAAAAAAAAAAACAAAAAAAAATTATGTCTTATATAAACTTAAAAAGTTTTTTCATTATAGCACAAGTAATTTTAAACTTTATACAGTAAAATTTGAATAAAACTACCGAAAGTATCTATAATTTAATATGGAAAAATCTTAAATATTATTTTTACTATTGCATACAACTCCATGCAAACCATCATTGTCAATGTAAAATTGTCCAGCACGCTTCGGTGCATGCGGGGCCATAATCACAGTAATTACTCTTGGATCTTTGGCCATGGTGCAAATTGTTTCTTTTAATGTTCTAAGAGGTCTAGATAACGATATTCTTGTGTTAATTATGCTAGACCATGATAAACCTAAAGCAGGTACTTTCGTTCCATCTCCAAGTAATAGCATTTGCTTATAATATTGTGCATAATTCCAACATTCTTTGTCATCACAATCAAGAGTTCCATAGAAGCCCTCTTTGGACAAAGCATCTGAAGCGACTTGATTTATGCATATAACAGCCGTATTAAATTTATCACTTATTTCTTTAAGTTTAGCACCCAGACAAAAGAGTTCAGTAGCGCGCTTCCGAAAATCTTTAAAAGCATCTTGAATAACAGCTGTTATGGTGTCAATTATCACCAATCGTATATTATTGCGCGAAAGTAGAACAGGTAGTTGGCAATAAACAATGTTTCGTAGTGCTTCAAAATTATATACCGCCACGCAATGAACATTATCGGTTAAATCTTTATTTCTCATACAGGAATAGTGCTGTTGAATTGAACTTGTTAATTGATTAAATCGTTTCGATTGAAACATGCCATTTGTAGAGATATATACTGCTCCTAAATTAATTACCAATAAATATTATCATGTTAAATAAAACCTAAGAGGTGTATGATCATTTTTAAACTAAAATGTGTAATATGTATAATGTAATCGACCAACCTCCGTCCAACCCACCCAATTCCTTTGGAAATTGAACTGTTAAACAAAATTGTAGACATAATTGCGTCTTGCCCGTTCCGCTATATACAAATAATAATAATAATAATAATAATAGAAATATTAGCCCATTGATTCTCGAGTACACATTAATGATAATTACCTCTCGCCTACTATCTCGGTGATTCCATGCGACAAGATGCCGCCACCAAGAACTTTATCAATTTCAGTATCACCTGTACTCAACATGCAATGAGTAGCATCTTTCAATAGTTGCAGCGCGGTTTTAGGTGGGTATAAAGAACAGGTTATCACTTGTACACAGGCTTGTACCAGTTCGGCTGCATCTTTCGCAGATATTTTCAGCGTTCCGCAGAGTTGTTCTTCGTTGCGAGATAATACATCAGCGATAGTTTCGAAAGTCGCTAAACAAGGGTAGATATTAACAAAAATTGTGACTTTAAAGAAAGAAACGAATTTACGTAAAAAGTAACACGTACAACAATTCAAAGCATCAGCTATTCTGGGACGAAATGATAGGTCACGAAGTTCCATAATTTAATAAATCGCGTAATCATTCATAATATATCTGATATACAGATACCGTAAATTGCGATTTTTCATCCAAGGGTGACCGTTCCAAATTAGGAAACGATTACCTGAGTCACCCGCTCGTTACACGATTTAGAAAAAAATTTTTTTTATACGCTTTACAATACTATAGTCCCGATCAATTAATGAATTTATTCTCACCCAGGGCTAGGTTGGCCAATGGACCAAAATGTGGCTTAGCAAATGCCAATGGACTATGTCCATTGGGCCAATGGACAATATCCATTGAAAATTTACACAGAACCCACCATAGTCCATTGCCAACCCTGTCTATAGGTCCTGATTATATGATCAGGTATAGAGTTTGGATCCGGTCATTCGTTTTCATATTAAATTTAACGGATTTACTGCTATATTTGTATCCAACGGATAACTGGATCCAAACTCTAATTAGGTATATTCGGTTTATCATTCTCGAATTATAGAGTATCATGAAAACTCTTCTATAATCACATCATTATTTGCATTGAGCTTGTGACATTTTAAATGCGCTTCTATTTTGAACTTTGATAACTAGCTGACTATGCCTTATCTGGGACTGCGAGTTATGGTTAGTCTTGCCCTGATTTTATGATCTAGTTAAACTACGTCCTGTTTAGTTGCATAGGCTATGTCTCGAAATTCATAGGAATTGTTATTTAATTTTGTATAAAATTATGCGATTTTATTAATAGGATGCTTTCGCTTTATATTAAAACTCATCAGTTATTTCGCAATATTTTTTAACGATAAATCTGTTAGCTATTTTATACAAAAATTCTCATTAATAAATAATAGAAAACTAAAGAAAAAATGACTAATTTGTATTATTAATTAATTACTAATTACA